CTCGCCGTCCCTCGCGGAACCCTTCGCTTCCCATTCCGGATCGGACATAAAAGGCACCCGCGCAGAAAGGGCCGCGTCTAGCGAAGATGATATTCTATGGGCAGCCTCGAATGGGGATGTTTTTTTCGAGGGAGAACGAGACCGACCACCTATTTTCCGCGTTCCTAGGATTTTCATGCGCGAACTGCGCTCGCGGTTTGAGCGCATTCATCGGATGCTTATTTCCGACTCGACTCGCTCCCTCTTGTAGGATTGCAACGGTTTTAATGAATTGTGGCTGATTGTTTTCTCTCTGTGTTGCTGGATTTATCGTGTCACTGGTTTCTGAGGATTTATGGAGTCTCGTATTTGGGTCGTGATTTATTTAATATATTTACGTGGTTTCTTAAGGGTTTATGGATTGAATTGATTCTGTAGGGTTAGGGGTGAATGGTAGTTTGGTTAAGTTCTTGTTGATAGGATGATAGGGGTATTGTGATTTTTTTGTTTTATGTAATTTTCAAGGATCGGTGTTTAGGGATATTCATGGGTATTTATAGCCACTGCAGTCGTTGAAAAGGTTTCGCTTCTAAGGGCTGAAAGGCATTCCTCGGAACATTCAGTCCTCAGCGATCTTTACACAGCGCACTCACCTATTTATGAGGCTTAACGAAAGTAATTAACTCTCGGCTGGCCTACATTTTCTCGAGTGATGTCAACGGTAGTGCCATTTCGATCGAATAATGAATAAACAGCTGGACGAGTTACTTCTGTCGAGTTTCTCTCGTTCGAAATTTACTGAAACTTGTGTACATTCGAACGCTTAATGCACCCAAACATTCGTCCAATCAGTGGCTCTCATCGTGCTCGGAAAATGAATTGACGCGAATGGCACGATATTTCCCCGCATCCGCCGAAACGCGTCGAGCCGGCACAAAGGGCGGAGAAACGAGGATTAAAAAATCCGTCTATACTAACGTTTCATAGTGTGCAGCATGGAAACCTGTCCCGGGCTTATCCAACCGTTTCACGTCCCGTTCCTGCGACACGTAAACGCGACACATGTGCCATTCGATCGAACGGACATATTCATTCCATCTCCGACGCGTTCTGCGTTCTATTCATGGTACAAATGCATCTCGAGGGCGATATCAAATCAATTTCAAGGAAAGTGAATTCTACGGACTGGAAGTTATTACTGGATTATAATTAGATTAATTATTATTCAATTATAATTGTCTGTAACTAGATATTTCCTGTAACTTTGGTGATTATGCGAAGTTTTCTTAGTACATTTGATTGCTTAAGGATTTGAACTCTTTGATATAATGCTGCCTTGTTGTCTCAGGATTTCCTAATTAGCACTTAAAGTTGCTATTAGATGGCTTGACTATTTCAATGACACAAACTGTATAATACGATTTGATAGTTCTAGTGTCAAGCTTTCAAAACATTCCTCTGCCTTATACTTCATTCACCATTTCTCCAATATTTATCAAATCTACCGTCTAATTATCAGATTGTTACATCTGTATACAATTTCAAACCTTCAAGTATACAAATTACAACAGAATTGCAATAGGAAATCAGTTTTCCCAACGAACCCAGTAAAACTAACTTCGTTTCGCGTACTTCGTGCATGTTCTCCAAATCTCGCGTTGGAAGTTTCAAATTTCCTATCAAACTCACTGTCTAATTATCATATTGTTTCATCTATATGCAATTTCAAACCTTCAAGTATACAAATTACAACAGAACTGCAATAGGAAATCAGTTTTCCCAACGAACCCAGTAAAACTAACTTCGTTTCGCATACTTCGTGCATGTTCTCCAAATCTCGCGTTGGAAGTTTGAAATTTCCTGAAAAATCCGTAGTCAGCTCGTCGTGCGTTCCGGAATCGGGCGGATACACGGGATGCCCGCGAGCCCCGCGTCTCGGCCCAGTATTCGTCGACGCGTTATCGGAATTCCGGAATCGATATCCGTTCCCCGGCGTTCCCCGCGGGACAACGGACACTTTCGGAACGCTCGGTGTTCCCCGCGGAACGGAACCGTTCCATTTACCCTCGAGCGGAGGGCGGCGCTGCGCGCGCGGGGCGCAGAATCCTCGGCGGAATTCGACGTCGGCCTAATTACCAAGAGGCGTCGATCGTCGCACGCGCCTTCCACCCTCTAATTACGGCCGGAACAGTCCGCGATTGTGCCCGCGGCCACCGGACAAAAGCACCGGCGCAAAAGAAACGTCCGACCGTTCGTACGCCTTAAATAGTAGCCGTTCGTTAGCGCGCGCATTAGGCAGCAGTTTCCGGTCAAGTGGCGACTTGACCTACTCCCGTTGTTCCCGGTATAATTGCCGCGAGGAAAGCGTAACGTTTGCCTAATAGCGAGCGTTGATGGAGCGCGGTCCGCGGGAGTACGCTTGCGTCGGGCTCCGCTTCCCGAGGCAGTGAAATATGTATGCTCCGCGAACGAATTATGTCCCGTTTCAACGTTGCGCACCGTGGGATTGTGTAAAAGATGCAGCAGAAGATGGAATAGCGGTTATTCCAAGAGAAATTCACTTAATCATACAGCTGTCTCATCTGGAATCAACCGATGAAATAAATTGCTATCTAGATTGGGTAGTTTAGAGTGAACTAGTTGCTACTTAACTGATTAGACAGTCTCCATTAAGATAATTACTATCTCATGAAACATTACGAACGTTAATTATTCGATGGAATGGTTCGTAAAACCGAAGGCTTCAAGTGAAAAGCTTCGATCGATGGAATTAAACGAATGATAAAATCGCTAGAGGATAGGTTTCACGAGTTTCCCCAGTTTCTCCTAGAGTTTTCGGGGTGTCTAGGTTCTAACTTCTATTCCGCGCTTACTTTTTCGCCGGGGTGGACCGCACGTTCTTCAGCTCCATCTCTTTGTTCGCCGCGTTGTTCTTCTCGGCGTTGTCCTGCGCGTTCGGCGACGAGCTTTGCGGGTTCAGGGGCCTGGTCACCGGAAGCGTAGCCGTGTTGTCCGCCGCGGCCGCCTCTACCTCCACGGTGGCGACTTTGCAATCACCGCCACCCACCATCGCTGATTCCATATCCCCTCTGACGGGCCCTAACGATCGTCAAACGTTCACCTTCGCGAATAATTCGGGGAAGAAATGTCCTCTCCCTTGTTACCACTGCGAGAACGAGAGACCGCGACCCGAACACCGGTTACGCCACCGCCGCCATTTTGGCGAACGCCTCGAGCGGCCTTCGGACACGATCGAACGGAATACAGTGGCTGGCTGCTCGATCCTCCCGCCTCGAATGTCTCCGGTGGCTCCCGCCGTGTCTCGGGGACGATTAATTCAGAGGGGACGTCGACGGAGCTCGGCGCGATCTCGAGCGGACGCGCGCGGATGATCCTGCTCGGCCGGACTCGGAGACACCATTTCCGAAAAGGAGGGCAGCAGGCGCGAGTCAAAACTCTCGCCCGAATTGTTGCTCTCTGTTTATTCGATTCCCCGGATCACGCCTGCGCGCCAACCCCCTTCGAGTTTTTCGCTCGGCGAGAGGAGTACGCGGGGCGCACCGACTTCTGCGCGACTCGGTGATAACGATGTCGAAGGCGATGGGGATTTAGAGCCGCTGGAAGCTTCGGCTCGCGGGACGAAGAAACTGAAGGTGGAAAGATCCGCGTCAGCTTTTTTAGGGGATGAACGTTCAGCGTGAGGATCGGTGGGATTTCAAAGATGAAAATGCTAGCCGAGGTCGTCTAACAATGTTCTATCATCGGAATATTATTCAATCTTCCCCGATATTATCCACGATTCGTCGGCGTTACCGATTTTCCAACTTTATTCATTTCCCGATATCACATTCTCCGATATTCCCGAACCGTGCCCAACATTTTCCAATACCGCATTCCCGACGTTACCCGATACTACCCTACATTTTCGAACGTACTCCAATATCGCCGATCCTCTGCGTCCCAAAGGAATTCCTACCCAACTCCGAGCAACGGCGGGCAACTTTACCGTCCCCCTGACTTTTCCCTCGCGGTGCAACCCTCCCGACGCCGGCCGCGGCCCGTAAACAAGAAAAATTCGATCTTACGTAACGGCGGGCGGGCAACGTTTACCTCGGGAGCCGGCTGGAAAAACTCAATAGAACGAGAAGAAGCTCGGCGGATTCATTGAA